AATGTGAATCCAGTCTTCCTAGAACACTGCTTCAGGTCGAAACACACCTTAAAAACTTCACTGTATAAATGGAATACCTGAAATACCTGCATTTATCACTCTTTGTAGGGCAACTGGATCTAACCAACCTATGCCACAGGGTTGGGGTTTTTTTTCTATTTTTCAATTACCTCAAGCCAGTCTGATCTTGTTTTAAGATCACCTTCAGCTGTGGAGGTGCAAAGTTTGTTCTTTGGACCATTTCCCTCTTACATCCATTTCCACTAAGTTTTCCTTTCCTGTCATTTCTTTTTGATGTTTGTCTAAAAGCCTCAACCTATATAAAGTATGCTATAAAAAAAGCTCCGAAAGTCTATTAATACATTCCCTTTAGGATTCTCTGCATATATTTCACACTTATCTTTAGATTTGAAGCAGTCTTTTTAGTCTGTGCTAGTACAGCACAGAGCCTAAGGAGTTCTGGACATGAGGTCCTAAGTACTCCTCAAAGCTCACGGAGCCCTCAATCTTACCGATACCACCTGATGCTCTGAACAATGTTTTTCCAATATCTAGCAATCAAGAGCCCATCTTGACATGCAGTGGTTAAGCAGCCCTTTCTGCTGCTGATAGAAATGCAGGTCAAACGATGCCTTTGCTGAGGTAGGTGTGTTGACTTCTCTGGAGAGATTATGCCCTTGTTTCTCAGCCTGCTTGCCAACTGGCTGTTCCCTTCGTCTGGGCTCCTGATATTCATACAAAGAGTGGCACAAAACCCTGGCTTGTTCTGTGCAGCACATGATCTCTGTTTGCTGCAGATAAATCTTTCTGACGTGATGTAGCAGCAGCAAGCTGCTTAGTCCAACCAGCTCCTACTATCCATTTCAGAAGCTTCAGTGGCCTTTCTTTAACTGTTTCATCGCAAACATTTTCAGACAAATCCACAAGAATACCAAGCAAGAAGGAGGAGGAGAGTGAAGGTTCTGATCACTGTGCTCACAATCAAAGCAACATGTTGGTGGGAAGTATGAAACAATGCCTTAGCTCCTTCCTCAACGAGCAAACCACTGATTATTAATGACTCTTCAAAGAGCACATTCCACAGCCACCATCAGCTCACATCCTTACATTACTCTGAGATTCTCCCCCCACATCAGCTGTGAAACCATGAGCCAACCAAGCCTTTTAAATTTAAAACATTTTTCCTCAGCTGGGAATAAGTACCTCTCTCAGAACAATCCCCAGGATGATTGGATCCTACTCCTCTCACAGAACTGAAGCTGCTCTTTTCTGAAAGGAGTCAAGTACCAACTTCTTTCTCTTGACCTCACCTCCCTCTTCAGCTGTTGACTGTGAAATTGTCCTTATTTATCTTGCACTTTTACAGAGATCAGTAACACATCACTATACTTACTTGCTCCTAGCATCTTTTTTCCTGTAATTGACAGCAGGTGTCTTTCCACAGAAAAATACCTCTGTGATGTTACACAGCTGGGTATCCAGCCCTTTGCTCTGCTACTTTCCCATCTTCTCTCTCACACGCAACACCTTTCAGAAATGACAACCTCAAAAGTGCCTCATCTGTCAAGGAAAGTTCCACAGTTATTCCCTTTCCTCAGTGCAGACCGGCATAAGTTTGTCGAATTTAGGAATGCTGCTGAGGGTCACAAGACTTGACCTGAATCCAATTATGGATTTCCTTCTGGAATCTGTACCTGCTTAGGGTCAGTTTCCACTAGCTGCAATGAGACTTCAGGCTCTAAACCAGCATCCTCATGAGATGCACCTTTAATGGCACTTGGGCAGACACACATATTCTTGATTTCACCATACGAGAAGTATTTCACAAGTGATAGTTAAAAAAAAAAAAGTTTAGTTAAAATGTTGTTAGAACAACTCTCAAAGATTCTGATTGTCCTTTACCATTAGTTTTCATCCTCCCAACAGCTCTGCAGTCTGTCTCATGGAACTCCTACTGTCTTGTTACCTCATTATTCCCTTCTAAAATTTTATCGTTATAGCCCACTTCACACCTCCTCTACCACACTGACAAATGCTACTGTGACCTATGGTGCATATTATAGTTCTAGTTATATCTATAGAATCAAAACTGCAAAATCTACATCCTGATCTGCCTGTGACTTGTGGGTCACCTTTGGCTGGCCCCTGATTTCTTTATGCTTCAGCCCCCCCACCCCCCCCACGCCTTGCTCTGAGATTTATGGCTGAAAAACGCAGAACAGAGCTAGATATTAATATTACTTCTAGAGAGTTTTCAAGTGTACTGCAACCTCTTTTGAATGACTGAATCCATGTCGAGATTAATTATATCTGATAGACCTAGAAATGAAATATCTGTAAAGGGCCCTGTTGCACAGTGGCTATCACCCAATCATCTAACATACCTTCTGCTTCTTCTGCCCACTTGCTCTATTATTCCTTGATGAAGAGGAATAGACATGAGGCACCCATGCATCTCCAACCTGAAATGAATTACCCTCTTTTAGTTCTTTGCTACAGCAGTCTAAATGATGCTAAATGCATTTAACCACCCTGTGGCAAGTTATCTTTTCCTGCAGGAAAAGAAACTTAGCTCGACTCTCCCTCACCAAACTTCTTCACAAATACCCCTGACGGCATTCAGCTGGGTGCTGGGAGCTGAGACCAAAAGAACTGAAGCTCTGCCTGAGAACATTTGCCACCCACATACTGCAAACAGTGTTCGGGAGCTAAATCTTATTTATGAGGCTTAGTTTCATTTCCAGTCCTTTGTGCCAAAATCCCAACCCAATGTCATTTGTGCACATGAGCTGTCGCAGTTTTGTCATTATTTGTGGCACACCAGCCCTCTCTTAATCTGGTTTTGGGTCCGTAGACATACTACAACAGAAACACAGCCACACAAATGGGACTGTAGCTATGACAAAGGACATCAGAAGATGCACGCAGAGACACACGTAGGGACAACAAAAACTATCAGAGGAGTCTTAAATAAGAGACACTGAAATAGTGCTGAAAATTGTATTAACTGTATTATAACATCTGAGCGAAAACCCAGAACTGGAACCACACAGCTTGCTTTGAATGCTTCATCAGGCATGTTTCTCTGTAATAAGCCAAACTAAAAACCTAGCCAAACTACAGACATCTGGTAGACAATACCCTTTGGACTAATTTGGGACTGAACACAAGTCCATTTTGATGCTCAGGTCTCTTTTGAACAGAAGGCAAGCAACTCTGGGTTTTGTCATCATATATTTAGGCAGGGGTTTTGGAAGAAAACCGATTCACTACCTTCATTCATGGTGCATTATAGCAAATCCAAAATTTACTCTCTACCCTCACCTGTGTGAACAACTTGACGGGGTATTACAGGAACTCATTATCCAAGTGAGAATGTGTCCGTGTGTCACTTTGACGTGGGACCGTGTTTCACGCAGGACCAATGCCAACCTCAGAGGAGAGCCTTAGAGAGTTCAGTTCTATCGTTTACACAAATTGCCCCATATATTCTTGGGAAAGCCTAGGGGGTTTTTTTGTATTTGTGTCTCCCTTTTGCATCTGTATTTGTCAAAAAAAAAAAGGGATGCAAAGTCAAAGAAGCCAGTCTCAATTCTGGACGCCTGCCAGGAAAGATGTAACTCTATCCAGCTGTCTGCCCAAGGTAAAGGCTAAGAAATGTTCATCATTTGTGTCATCCAGTTCTGTCCCTCCCCGAGGCTCCGAAGTGTCAAACTGCCACACGGCAAGCCTCAGCCTGCATCCTGAGCGATACCCCGGCCACCAACAAGGTCGTGAGACAAGCTGGAGTACCTCACTCCGGCTGTAAACTATCACGCTTACAAAGCAGCCGTTGGAAAAAAACGCAGCCAAGTCTCACAGCTACGGCACTCGGTGCCTTTGTGCTCCTTCTAACAAGCTCCCACCTTCAACTCTTGACGAGGGAGACCCACCGCCCCCGTGGGCGCCTCAAGCCCAGCCCAGGCTGCGGATGCCCGGCTGCGGGAGCAGCTCCCGGGGCTCAGCATCGCCGGCAGAGCCCAGCCACCGCACCCCCCCGACAGCCCGCCATCCCTCCCGATAAAGTCGAAATAAAAGTGTGTGCGCTCCGTTCCGGGATGCTTTTCCCCCACCCCAGCCCGGGGCGGCGCCCCCAGCCCCTTTCTCTACCCCCCAAGGAAGGGGAAAGGCGACTGCCACCGTCGCCCCCGCCCCACAGGTCGGCAGGGGGAGGCGGGACGGGGGGGACCCGGCGGGCCCGGGGGTCTCAGCTCTCTCGGCACGGGAGAGGGGCCCCCACCTGAGGGGAGAGGGGCCGCCTCTGCCTTGACGGGGGTCCCGGGGAGAGCAGCCGCGGGGGTCCCCGGCCGGCCCCCTCGGGGCGCGGCGACGGGGCCGGTGCGGGCTCCCGGCTCCTCCCGCCGGG